CAGCCAGCATGGCTGGCTGGGGAATTCTGGGAGTTGAAGTCCACCCATCTTCAAGCTGCCGAGGTTGAGAAACACTGCATCAGAGGAAGAGGTAGACAATGTGTGGGTCTGTAAGAGAGAGAGAGGAAAACTTCTCTAAGAGGATTTTTGCCCCCTGGCCTTTTTTTTAAAAAGGGGGTGTGAAACAAAGCACACAACCCCCGCAACCCAACTACACACTACCTCCAGACTTTTTCAGCAGAATCATCTCATCGATTCATTGCTCCACTCACATCCTGGGGCTGCTTTATAACCACGGGGCCTTCTTGGAGCAGTCCTGTGTGGGAGGTCTGTCAGAATATAGGCGGAATTGGGGGGTGGGTGGGGACTCTACTGCAGAGACCCCAAATTTCGGCCTGCTCGGATCTGCCAAGGGTTGCATTTGAAGGTCACAAGTGAAGAACGGAGCTGTGAGCACTCGTGCGTGGATTTTACGTGGCCCCACGTGTACCCTGAAGGCTTGTGTGAGACGGGGTCCTTGACACATCTCACCCATTCCCTGTGTTCAGTCCGAATTAAGGGATCCTCCACGGATGGCTGACCACTCCCAACACGTCTGAAGAGTGCCAAGCTGGGGACAGGCCTGGTTTGCCATTCTCATTCCTTTAGGTCGTCAGAACCTAGTCTATTCCTGGCACAGGAAGCCCCGGTTTGCTCCTGTGCTGCCCATCGGCTGAGTGCCCCAGCCCAAACTGGTCCCGCAGCAACTGATCCAAGCGGGCAATCACAAAGTGGCCGCTGCATGACCTCCTCGGCAGGCCAAATTTAGCACTCCACAAAGGGGAGGCATTGTCTTGCTGACTGGCACCCCTCGTTCTGCCCGCGGAAGGCCTGGTTTATCCAAATAACCCCAAAGTACAACACACAAAGGAGCCAGTGTTAAAGCTGAACAATGATCTGTCAGCCTGCTGGTAGCCGACTGCAGGGCGCTGGCTGGAGTCATCAGCAGATCAGGGAGGACTGGAGCACGTTCCCCTTATCCGGCGTCTGGGGGCCTGGCTCAGCGAGAGGCAGGGGGTGCAAAGGGGGGAATGGGTCCGACGCCCCGGTCCAGATCCCACCCCAGTTGTGCAAGCAAGCCAAGTCACACCTGGACAGAGGTTAAAGGGCATCCTCTTACAAGAGCCATCCCCGAACTGGTGCCCGCGGGCATTTTTGGCCTAACTCCCCATCATGTCTCAGCCATTCTGGGCAAACGCGAGGAGGGTGGGAATAAGGAGGCTGCAAGTCCAACACATCAATTGGGAAATTATGCTTTTGAGTCAGCTTTTTGGGGCGGGGGCAGGGGGTGAGTTAATGCACTCCTGAAAAGATACCACACACCCCCACACCTAGCCTCCTATCAAAGCCACAAGGTTCTGCACAGGAAACAGCTGCTTCATCTTGGAAAGCCAATTCCAACGTTCAGTGGTGCGGCTAAAACCCGTATCAACCCTCCCCACGGCTGCCTCTCATTCCTTTCATTTTTTCAGCCCATCTTTCAGAGCTACCTGTCTCTAAGCAGTATAACAAAGTGAAAATTAGGGTTAAACGCTTGGCAAATAAGACAGCTGTAGTAAAGCGGATCGTTGTAGTTACTAACGGTTCTGTCAAGAGGACATCTGAACCCTGCGTAAGTCAGGCAAATCTCATGCCGTTCCCTTGAACCATTCCTGTCCCTAGTTCCTTCACCACAAAAGGCAAACCTCAGGCATGCAGTACAAGCCACGATCTCAAAGGGATGTCACACCCAGCAGGATGTCATCACGCTGTGCATTTCACATGCAAAATGAAGCAAAGGTGTCATTGGTGTAACGATGTCAGCCTTGTCGTCCCTTGTCCCCACCCTTGTCCACCCCCCAGATACCTACAGACTAGAGCTTTCCAATCTCAGCAAGTTGAAGAGGTGTGTTCATCCACTCCCAGAATTCCCCATCCAGCATGGGAGCTGGGGAATCTGGGAGTTGAAGTCCACACTTCTTAAAGTGCCCAACGTTTGGAAATACTTCCATAGACAGATCCAAATACGTAGGGAACATGAGAAAGAGGAGGACCAAGGCGTTGAGGAGGAGAATGGCTGTCTGAGAGAGACCTACCAGCCGGATGTAATCCTCTGGGCGGAGCAGCATAAACATGGCTTGAAGGTGTTGCTGGAGGTCTCCTGCAGCAGAGAAAAAAGAATCAGAAAGGAACAATTTCCTCCTCCACCCCCACCCGCCCCAAGTTCCTCCTCTAAACTTCTCCTCTCATTCTGCCCTGGGGACTCCCAGGCCAAGGCCCCCAAAACTTGGCTGTCCCCACTAGCCAGGCAGGAATCTGGCAGCCTTTGGACCATTCTTAGCCCACTACGCTTGGTTGGTTTTATGGTTTAGCACGCATGCTGCATGAATGTGTGGGGTTTGATGGCCGTTCAAGGTATGGTACAAAATCCAGAGATTGGCTTACGCATTTGCGTGAACAAAGCTAGGAATTTTCCTTTTCCTTCACACTTGGTTTAGGGAAGCCCATAACTTCTAGTGGATCATAAAGAAAGGTGAAGCTGTATCAGATCGTCAGGGGATTTCCTTGCATCTTGCTTTAGGTGGACCAGCATCTCCTGGACCAAATGCCAGACGTTTTGTGGTAACACCGATATCCTTATTGTACTCTTTGCCTACTCAACCCCATCTCATTTCCACTCAGGGTGAGAAATGGCTTGTTCATAATTCTCATAAATAATCAACCACAGGTGAGAATACATAAATGCCTCGAAGGCAGAGGGCCATTTTCTCAGGGAATCTAACGCAGGCCAGACAACCAGGCGCGAGCAGAATCCGGATGCAGCGACCCGGGGTGGTGGGGAGGGGAGTCCGGAGCAAACGTTACCTGCGTGTTTGTTACGCCGGTGGTTGACCCTGGGAGTGGAGGATCCATTTCCGCGTGGCAGGAAGAGGGCAGCGCCTTTCACCGTGAGGAAGCTCTCGCTGATGCTGCCAGAGGAACAAAGCAAAGCAGATGTGAGGGGAACAGAAGAGAGAGGTGGGCGCAGGAGCTCCATGTGGGAAGCCCCCCTCCTGCGGCTGAAGTGATCTGGGGGGAGAGCAGCCAAGGGCCAGCCCACAAAGGGGAAGGCCGCAGCCCAGCGTCCCCTTGCTTTGGCGAAAGGAAAGGAGGACGGTGAGAAATCAGCCGGGCCTCCCCTGCCAGGGACCCCGGCTCAGTGGGGCCCACCCTCCCCGGCGGGTCCCACGGTCACCCCTGGCTCTTCCCGGGATGAGACCACAAGGCAGAGTGGCGAAGAGCACCTGTGTGGCCTGCTTGGGGTGTCAACCCCAAGTCAGCCAGATTTAAACCGGGTTTCGCCTGGTTTGCACACCTCCGTCCTTTACACCCCCCTAGACTGCCTGCCCTGCGGCCCAGGCTAATTTCGAGGCTGAAGCAGGATGGGAAATGCCCCTAGTGACAAGAGGCGTGGCTGCCCCGATGGCCAATCTGCCGGACACCCCAGCCTTCCGGAGGCTCCACGCCGCCCCGCCACCGGTTCCATCTCCCGGACCAGCCTCGATTCAGCTCCAATCCAGTGGGCTCTCAGCGCCCAAACTTGGTGCCGCCTCCCCCTTCCAGGCGCACGTGGCTTGCCCCCCAGCCCTCGGGCCTGACAGGACCCCTTCTCACAGGCCAGCCCCTGCCCCGAGAGGGGACAGCCCGTGGCCAAGTAGATCCTGGAGGAGCATTTCCTTCTTCCAGCCAATCCCACCTTGCTTTCCAAATGACAAACAGCAGCTTAACCACAGGATAATTAGTTCACATTTGGATGTCACAGGAAGCCAACATGCCCTGGCAGCCGATTGTGGTTAAGACTCTCTTAACTACAGTCTGAGCCCTGGTCCAGCTTTGCACAACATGCTAAATCCATTGCTTGAAGTGGGTTTTGGAAACAATGGCCTGCAGCAATCCAGGTTAAGGCCGAACCACAGCTGTATTGCAAACAGGGCAATACAAACTGAGATTGCAGAAAACCAGGTAGCGAAAAGGAGAAAAAAGGAAGGAAAATAAGAAAGGGAAAAAGAGAAGGAAGGAAGGAAGGAAGGAAGGAAGGAAGGAAGGAAGGAAGGAAGGGAGGGAGGGAGGGAGGGAAGGAGGGCAAATCCCTTCCACAGACTAACATGAGGCCTGTATCTAATTCTGTTTGATGTCTTTGGGGTTTTACTTTATGGGGCTTTCCTAACAAAGACTCAGCCAGCCTTCCTTTTTCGCTGCGTCCTCTTTGTTCACGTTCCCTAACTTTTCCGGTCAGTATAAATTCAACGTCCATTCTGCTACTCACGTTAAGCTGAGGGAAGGAAGGAAGATGGTGTATGGCCATGTCTAGGAGCAAAGGCGAGGAGGCAGAGCATATTTGCTGAGGCACAGAGATTCTGAACATCCCCCTTTCCCAGCCGGGCACCCTTCAGATAGGTTCTACTCCATCACCCATCATCCCCAGTCCATAGAGAAGGGTGCCGGGTTGGGCAAAATTGCTTAATGGAATACTGTTTTGCAGGGCAACCCTGAATGCCGGAACAGGAGCCGGCAACATTTTCAGGCATCAGGAACCGTTATGAAGTGGGGCCACAGTAAATAAATTTTTTTTAAAAGTCCAAATCTTGCAAGATGGCAGAGGGTGAGCAATTTGCTCATCTTGCTGTAAGACTTTGCATGATCTCTTATACGGATATCAACATTTTGTGAGTTTGGGAGAGTTTGTTAGATTTTAGCATTTTCACATTTTCCTTCCTTATTTTGGGTTTCCGCGAATGCTGCCATTGTGAGGGCCCGTGTTACGGATTGTTATTTGAGAACAAAAATTCGTATGCAAAGAATGCTAAGCAAAATTCTGCCTGTCTTCTGAAAATAATTCTTAAAAAATAAAACAATCAAAACAGCACAAGATTTCCGAAACGCACATTTAGAAAAACAAGTCTACATCTGTCAGGAAATTAATCACGTCTGTACTATCTGTGGTTAAGAGTCTCTGCTTTTCTTCTGCAAAAGCGCAGAGGCTTTGAAAAAACAACTTTTAGTGTTCTGGAACAGGGTAAACCAGAAACCACAGCCTCCAAACAAACTCCATTCCTTGCTTTACAAACGAAAACGCATCTGCCATCACTGCATGAATTATGGAGGTCAACCGATATATTTCATTCCCTTCTCGTGCTAAATGAACCAGGCAAATCCATTTTGCTCCCTCAGCTTTGTGCAAGATTTAAGGAAACAGAGATTTAATTAAAGCACCCAGCCACTCCAGAAGAGCCGAATTCATTTTTCTTTCACAAAGCAGTTTAAAAAAAAAAAAAAGACCTGTTCATTTCAAAACTCTTCTTGGCTGGATCTCTACACACCAAGACTGATCACCATTTTTTGCAAGCTGCCTTGAGAGTAATTGGATTAAAAAGAGGCACATACCACTCTTAAAATAAGTACAACTATCTCTTTGTCAGTTATAAAAAAGCAATCCACTTCAAAGTGGGTGACTTTGGGAGAGCTAACAGTTCCAGCTATCAATGCAACGAACGGTTTGCTTAGTGGTGCTTGCTAATAGCCACGGCCAGATCTCTCCTCAATGAGTAAACTTTTTACAGCCGTTTGAGAGTGGGCTCCAGAGGTTGATGACCCTATTGCACCTTCCCAGAATCTTCTCTGGATAATGCTAAGCTTTTGCAAGGCTCATCCTTTCTACACTCTGTAAAACTACATACAACCCTTATTCCTGAGATTTATAACCCATCTTCCCAACAACAGATTACTTAAACAACGCGAAATGCAGAGACAACTGCCGCTTCATTTGGGCCCAGGATCCAAGCTGAGGGAAACCCCACTGAGATTCACTGTTTTTAAATTAAAAGTTTAAATTAAACTCCTAAGTTAACTGCTTAGGAGTTGATGCGCACAAAGTTCTATGGTCAATGAAAGGAAGCCTGGATTTAACTTTGAACATGCTTTATCTCTGTACCCCATCTTTAGCCCAAACGGCTTTCTAAACCTCCAATAAAGACATAAAACTGTGCAATCAGTAACTTAATAAAAGCACAAGAAGTGATCATTCACCTTTATTACAGTGGAGAATTATCAGTGTTTATGACCTCCTCCAACTACCAAACACAGCTGTTGACTTTCCACGTCATGAAACGCTCTGGGGGAATTAGCAAGCCCTGCCTTATGCAAAGATCTGGGCAGGCCGCCCGGAACTAAACACACCATCCAACTAGTGTCCAGGTAAAATCCGGTTTTCAGGTACGCTGGACACAACGTTGTTTTGTGGCCTGAGACCCCATCTTTGG